TTTCAGATTGAAATACTGTAGTTTCTTTATGTTTTTATATGCTGTGTCATAGGTGAAAACACCAGCAAAATAGTTATAACTCTCATGCTAAGACATAAGGGTATGTATCATTTTAAAATTTTTCAAACTTCACCAAAGCCTACTTTATACAGAGTCTGAATTCAGCAACTTATCTTTAACATAGAAACTTCAGAATATTGGAATAATCTCATATGTCGAAGCCATTTGATGTATCGAATGGATTGAGGTATTTAAACAAGACGGCGGTAACAAATATTCAACAATATGATATAGTTTTGATTAGAAAAATTCTAGTAAATTGTCAGAAAATATTGTTCGACTATAAGAGTCGCAGATATTCTTGATTTGATTTTTTTAGTCAATGGATTCAATACTTTCAACGATGCTTTTAATGTCACACCATTTTTTCTAATGAGGAAATCGTTCAATTTAACAAATCGTTTTTGAATTCAGACTCTGTATAAAGTAGGCTTTGGTGAAGTTTGAAAAATTTTAAAATGATACATACCCTTATGTCTTAGCATGAGAGTTATAACTATTTTGCTGGTGTTTTCACCTATGACACAGCATATAAAAACATAAAGAAACTACAGTATTTCAATCTGAAATATCTTCCACAGAGACATCCGCTTGTTAATAGAATGCTATTCCCACGGAATAGCATTGAAGATTCAAAAGGCCTTGCATTCTCGCATCTTTTTAGTATATGGAAAATTTTTGAAACTTACAATAACTTGCGAAGGTAACATTCTTTTAATTGAAATTTTCAGAGCCTTTTATTTAAAACCAGGCTTATCTGAGGGCTAAATTTAATGTCGAAACACCATTACTCTGTTTCCTAACATGTATTTGGCAAAGACTAAAATTCGAGTTAAATGGCTATTATTTCAGCAAGAAGGTCAAAGGTACTTATCCTTTTGGCATTTTTCAAACTTCACTGAAGTTTACTTAATACATAGAATCCAAAATGGTAAACAATTTATCACATCGAACGATTCGTTTATGAAGAAAAACGATCTCTGTCACTCTTGCAAGAGACATGCCATCTGATAGTTTTTAAAGTCAACTCTTTTTGCTATCAAACATGCACGCAATTTATGCTCAAAAACTTAGTAGCCTACACTGAACACTATGTAGATTAAGGGTGCAGAATCTGCCGTGAAAAGGAGAAATTTTCTCGAATGGGACAATAACTCTCAGAGTTTTCGCAGTCTCAATAGTTTCGAGTAACCATTCCCAGATAATAATTTTTAGAAAAACTTCTCCGAGCCCAATATTTTTTTCTGAAATCTCCCCAGACTCATAAAATTACTCCAAACGTGCATTTGTGCATGCAGGCACATGTCACACCTTTGATTTATATTGACTTGCTCAATTGAAACAAAATCTAGTCTATGTAAATCATAAATCCATTGCACATTTTTATCTTGCTAATCAAAGTTTTATGTAACTTCCATTATAAACTGTATGCGAAACAGTTTTTATTTCCTGACGCTCTTTTTATCATCAAACAGACCTTAGATCAGTCTTTGTTAGCTTTTGATTATGACTACGAATCAATAAAAATTAGTCGAGTGAAGAACAGAGTAGATTAAAAATGATTTTATGAAATAATCAAAATAGAACCACTACATTTTCAAAATATTATAAAAACAAATCCATCAATGTTTTTTGGTGCACACATAGACACGACTGTCACGCAGGTTTTTTGATCCTGTTAGATTATTTTGCTCAAATCAAAACAAAATTCCAAATTTTGTAGTTTCATCGGAGGTCAAGCAAAAAAAAGATTAGACTGAAAAAAATAATTTTGTTAAAATACTTTATCTTTTTTAAAAGACAAGTTTATCATGGTTATAGGATTGATAATCATAAATAAGATGAACAATTTGTACAAAACTTCGTTTTCTTGCTAATAGTTTTCGTTCGATAACTGAGCCCACTTCAAAGCAAAGGATTTGAATTCTTAACATAATCTGATCTTATAAGGTAGACATATTCTTCTAATAAAGATTCTGTTCGGTTTTTGTTTTGATTTCTTTCTAGCCAACATCGTGAGAAATTCAAAATTGACATCATCTTAAATACCATGAGGGAATAAAAAAAACAAGTTATTGATGAATAGTTTTATTACTGTCAAAAACTTGTGACATAAAGTATTTAAAAAATGACTCTTCTGTCTGACATTAATAAAATTATTCATCTGTGAGAAATATAAAAATGCAATAAAATATTACTTTATTATTCGCCACTTTAGTCCATAATTTTTTTTCAATTTCTCTGGTTGAAATCCAACACATCTTTGCAACTATCCATCAAATTTTTCATATCGACAGATGTGTTTAAAAGTACACAGTAATATAACTTACATATTGAATGAAGATGCGTATGATATTCTCGACTTTGCAAATACTTTACACCAATGAATTTCGGTTCTCTTCTTTTCGTCCGACGATTAGCTAAGTCAAGTAGATATATTACTATCATCTATGTTCAATTCAATACTTCCAGCTCTAGGTGCCAGACAACTCGAAGAACATAGTAAATATGAAGCATAGCGGCTAACTAGTCAATGAGACAGAAAGAGCACATAATGAATACATACAATCCCAATAATGCTACGTCCCTCACTTCAAATATTAACATAAGCTCAATCGTGAAAAAGTAATGAAGAACAAATCCAATACTCTACAACAATAAATCTATATTGGAAGCCCAAGGGAGCCAATCTGACAAGGTTTTGACCAGATTCCTATGAAATTTTATAATATCTCGTCGAAATCCTATATAAATATTGTCTCAAGTCGAGCTGCAGAATGATGTTCGGATTGCTAGTGTTGCGGTTCGATCGGATTCTACAACATGATATCATCAGAACACGACAGATCCCCATGAACACTAGCCACAACTTAAAAAAACTGACTGTGCAATGATTCCACTTACCAAGCTCAAAATTTCCACCTGTCGAATAATTTTTAAAGCTATACTTATAAGTCGACCGTAGGATTCACTAGTGCACATCAGCAAAGATTTCTATCCACATATGTAGCTACTCTGTACGTGTTCATTCGAAAATCACTATGTGACTGAACCGACACTCATATAAATATAGATGTGTCTCCCATACCCAGCTCATCCGCGCTGGTATATGAAAAAAAAACAGACAAAAGGTGCTATGCAGGCAGTACCAAGAAACACAGAGAGGACACACCCAAATGCATATAAAAAGCAAACTAACGTACTTCGAAACCTAACGAAAGGGATTCAAGACCGAGCAGTCTTTCAGTATTCCATCACCCCCGACAAGCACCGTATCAGAAATTTAACGGATAGTCATCCCATCAAATGCAAATATTGTATTTGACTCGATAAATGCTGGAATCTGATCGTCGGATCCGTGAGTGATTTTCGCTGCCCATCAAATTGTTTTAGCTGATCGAATTCTATCTCATCTCATCCAAGTCTGTGTCAGATTCAATCAACTGGAGAAATTGAAAAACCACGAAAAATAGAAACTTGCCACTACTCACATTACTACTCGGTCATAAAAAGCAGATAAAACGATGATACATGGATAAAATTACTAATGACACAGGATAACAGCTCAAGAAAAACCACCATAATTCACCGGCAATCGCTGATACTACTCGCATGAGCCACCATCTCAGTAGTTCCGATTCAACCCTCGATCCAAAACGAAATACTTAGCCTACCCTGTCATCCCTGGAACCATCTCACACATCCCAATTTGGAGTCAAATGAACCACAATAAGCCATTCGATAGGCGTTTTCAAGCGTCGATTTCAGCTTCCCCTTGGCATCAAAACCCTATAGCGACTCGTCCGATTCTCATTTTACCGTAGGTCGATCGTTCGACTGTGTCATTTTACGTGCAGTTTTTGATCACTCAGACGATCGTTTCCCGAATGGATTAAAATTTCACCGGATAAAAAGGTCTTTGTCCGATTGATATCTCATTCGCCAGTCGTCAAAACCTATCGCATACAAGCGGATGAGAAGATTCGACCATAGTTGCTGACGATTCATTTTCATCGAACATCTAAACTAAACATCAATTACAACTCTTTCGTGAAAGCCATTTGTTCAATAAATGAAGACGAAACCATTTTCAAGATTGTGATTGGTGTTTTATTAGTCACTAGTCATTCTTATAAAATAAAAGTATGAATTTTCATTTAACAGAGCAAAGCCATAGCATAGCTTTAACTAAACGGAAAGCATTTTTCGAATTTCAGATGTTCTATAAAACCACTCAGTTGATAAACATGGCATCTGGTAAACAACTAAATTGTGTGCTTAAGTATAACAACAATACTTAAACATGCTTTAAAAGACACACAATACAACGGTTCTTTATGTTCACATTTCACTCAGGACGTTGACGAATTTCATTCAACACTTTAATCGCTTAAAATTCAATGTTCCTCTCAAAAACATAAAATTACGATGAAAAAAATCCAAAACAGAAATACGCGTCAGAAGATCGTTGGAAAAAACTTACACACTTCACAGAAGCAACTTTTGAAGGAGGCTCAGTGAGAATATGAAATTTACCCATCCAAAAACGTTCTATCCTAGACTCTCTTCTGTTGAACCCACCAGATAGCGTGCTTCGGATAACCCTATCAGCCTGAAGTAGCCTAAATTTCGGTATCAACACAGCACTGCATTTTGCCCAAGCAACGATACTTACCTTGTTACACAGTTACATTCACAGAAGCTATCTAGCCTCGCTGAGCATCGCTCGTCGAAACGAAGTCACTATGGCATACCGATTTCACGTGCACCCGATATATGCTTGCAGAAGACCATCCAATACTGCCCCCACGATCAACAAGAACCCTATTGAGAAATACTCCGCAACGACGCCTACTTCTAAAACATGCAGACGTACGAGAAGATCTACAAACGCCACCATATATAAAAACAGACATTCCACCAGAAACAAAGCGTAGCGCAATACTCGAATAACCACAAATCTCGGCGAATCAGTGACAACCATAATATACAAACGTGAATTACCATCTATACTTTCACAAAACCAACAGCGATTCACCCAACCAGAATCAATACAACGTGGTCATCGACCCTTCCGTGAAAAATGAATAGCTTTAAGAAAAATGCTCTCCTACTATTTCCGTCAATAGGAATCCATTACCTGTATGTGACAACATTCTCTCACATCACATGAAGAGAGAATAATTTTAACCAACTTCGCCTTCTACTATTTGACTCAACTGGAATTCAGTATTTCTAAATCACAACATCATCGAAAATTACGTCGAAAAAAAATAATTTTGAAGAAAATTCTCTCCTACTATTTGACTCAGGTGGAATCCATTATTTCAATCGCACAACATCATCCAATATCACGTGATACAAGAACGATTTTCATCATTATTCCATTCTACTATTCGACTCAATTCGAATCCATTATTTCGATGTGACAACATCATCGGATATCACGTGAAAAACGAATGATTTTCAGGAAAATTCTCTTCTCCTATTTGACTCAAGCGGCATCCATTATTTCAATGTGGCTACATCATCCAACATCAGGTGAAAAGAGCATAATTTTGAACAAAATTGTCTTCTACTATTTGACTGAATAGGAATCAATTATTACAATACGGCAGCATCATCCAAGATCAGCTGAAAAAAAAATACGTTTAACCAAAGTTCTCTTCTATTCCCCTGTTCTAGTGGAATTCATTATTTCAATGTGACAACATCATCCAACATCACCCGAAAAAAGAATAATGTGCATAAAAATTCTTGTCTACTATTCGACTCAATCGAAATTCATTATTTCAACCTGACAACATAGCGCAACATGAGATGAAATGAGAAAAATTTCGAACAAAAGTCTCTTCTACTGTTTCACTCAATCAGAATCCATTCTTTTAATCTGACAACATCAACCAACATCAATTGAAATACGAACAATACTGAACAAAACTGCCTTCTACTATTTTATCCAATTGGAATCCATTATTTCAATGTGACAACATCATACAACAACACGCAAAAAATGAATAGTATTCATCAAAATTCTCGTCTTCTATTTGGTCCAATTGGAATCTATTATTTCAACGTCATATTATCATCCAACATCACGTAAAAAACGATAATTTATATTAAAATTCTCTTCTACTACTTGGCTCCACTGGAATCCATTATGTCAATGTAAGAACATCATCCAACATTAGTTGAAAAAAGAATAATTTTGAACAAAAGTTTCTTCTACATTTTCACTCAATCGCAATTCATTATTTCAATGTGCCGACATCGTTCAACATTACGTGAGAAAAGAATAATTTTGAAGAAAATTCTGTTCTACTATTTGAGTCGATAGGAATCCATAATGTGAATGTAACAACATCATCGAACATCACATGAAATACGAATAGTTTTCATCAAAATTCTGTTCTACAATTTCATTCGATTGGAATCCATTATATTAATGTGACAACACGATCCAACATTACATGAAATTAGAATAACTTTAACCAAAATTCTCTTCTACTTTTTGACACAGTTGAAAACAATTATTTCGATGTGACAACATGATCCCAGATCACGTGAAGAAAGAATAATTTTGAAGAAAATTCTATTCTAGTGTTCGACTCAATAGGAATCTATTATGTGAATGTGACACTAGCATCCAACATCGCGTAGAAAAAGAATAATTTTGAAGAAAATTCTCTTCTACTGTTCGACTCAATTGAAGTCCATTATTTCAATATGATAACATCATCCACATCATCCGAAAAAAGAATAATTTTGAGAAAATTTCGGCTCTCCTATTAGAGTCAATTAGACTCCATTATTTTAATGTGGCACTGTCATCGAACATTTCATGAAAAATGAATCATTTCGAAGAAAATTCTTTTCTACTATTTGACTCAATTCGAATCCATTATTTCGATCTGACAGCATTATCCAGCATCACATGAAAGTAGAATAATTTTGAGCATAATTCGCTTCTCCTTCTTCACTCAATTGGAATCTACTATTGCAATGCGATAACATCGTTCAATATGACGCGAAAAATGAATGGTTTTCATCAAAATTTTCTTCTACTATTTGATTTCCTTCGAATCCATTTTTTCAAAATGGCAACATGATTCAACATCACGTGAAAAAAGAAGTACATTGAAGAAAATTTTGTTCTACAACGTGACTCGATTGGAATCCATCATATGAATGCGACAACATCATCCAACATTAAGTGAAAAAGAATAATTTTGAGGAAAATTGGCGTCTACTATTTGACTCAATTGTAATTCATTATTTCAATGTAAGATCATCATCCAACATCAGATGAGAAAAGTATAATTTTCATTAAAATTCTCTTCTACTCTTCCACTCAATTGTAATTCATTATTTCAATATGACAACATCATCCATCATGACGTAAAGAAAGAATAATTTTCAAAAAAAAATTCTTCTACTATTTGATTTAATTAGAATACACTATTTTAATGTCACAACATCATTTCAAATCACGCGAAAAATGAAAAATTTGCATTAAAGTTCTCTTCTAGTATTTGACGCAATCGGAATCTATTATTTCAATGTGACAACATTATGCAACATCACTTGACAAAAGAGTAGTTTTGAGGAAATTCTCTTCTAGTATTTGACTCAAGCGAAATTCATTTTTTCAACACGACAAGATCATCTCAGAGCGGACGAAAAATGAATAGTTTTCATCAGGTTTCTCTTCTATTAATGGACTCAATTGGAATCCAACATTCGAATATGGTAACATCATGCAACATCGCGTGAAAAACGCATTATTTTCATTAAAATTCTCTTCTACTATTTGAGTCAATAGGAATCCATTATGTCACTGTGACAACATGATTCAACATGACTTGAAAGAAGAATAATTTCGAACAAAGTTCTCTTCTTGTATTTGACTTAATCGGAATCTTATATTTCTATATATGAACATCATCGAACATCACGTGGAAAAAAAATAATGTGCATCAAAATTCTCTTCTATTACTTGACTCAATTGAAATATCTGATTTGAATGGAACAACATCATCCAATATTACATGAAAAAAGAAAATGTGCACGATAGTTGTGTTTTAGTATATAATAGATTGGGGAAGTATGTTTGATGTTGTGTTTGGATTCGTTGGTGGTAGGGTTGACGATGAAATAGTAACATGGTTACGTTCGTGGTTTATGGTCAGTGTCCGAGTATCTTGTAAGTTGGATTTCAGTCTATTGGTTATCAGTTTTTGGAACTATTATAATTATAGGTAGATCCAGTTATAGTGAGGTAGATGTTATTTTTTTTCAGAAGAAGTGATAGACATTCTTCGTAGAAAATGAATAACTCTAATCATAGTTTTGTTCTAAGACTTCACTCATCTGGTAGGAAAAATGTTTCGATCATAATCATCATAGGAGATTATGTGTAGTTAGAATATTTCAAATTACGAGTCTGTTCAACTAGTATTCCCATATAGAATCAATGCTTTAAATTATAGAAATGAGGATAGCAGCTTTGGTAGATGAATAGATTAAAACAAGACTTTGTTCACTATTTTAACCATTATCAAGAGATATTTTTGATAGATCAACCAAAACCAAGAATGTATGGGAAACGAATGATTATAACCAAAGTTGTATTCAGTCACTTTGTACTTCAAAAGCAAAACTTTCATAAAGGAATATAGTGAAAGATGGTAACGTATATGAATGCTCCTTACAATAAATTGATTTGACTGATTTGTTCATTGCTACGGAAAAGTTTTGAAATCACAAAAGAATATCTGATCGTATAAAAATTGAATAATATTAACGAGAGTACTATTCATTTATATTCTATTACATGAAAAGTATCGCCAAATTTGTTATATGATCAAAAGAATAACAGAAAGATGAATGATATCAGGATAGTTAGGTGTAATTACTTTGTTTCTTTCGAAAGACATTACGAGACGTACTAAAGTAAGCTATAGTTTTACAAAAAGTGAACCATCACAACAAGTATCTTGTTCTTTTACTTTGTACGTTTCAAAAGTAGCTCACTTAGGAGAGATAATAATATAAAATCATATGAAAAACAGATAGTTCCAAGTTAACATCGCGTTCGATGCGCTCATTTTTGGTAAATCTAAAGGAATATTGAAACAAACAACTTAGGAATATTAAGTAAATATATCTCTTTATAGAAATGTAGTGCGATTTACACTGTAGTGGCATAAAAGTAAACTAAAAGCAGATTACTGAGGAAATCGAACGTTCTTAGTGGATATAATTCATATATACACACTCAAGAAATATTGTTACTACTCCCAAGGATGGTCGTGAGTGAATAGCAGACTCATGCTTACATCTGCACCCGTTCTATATGTCTTAAAAGCTTTTATCACCACCTTCTATATTGTATAAAAACACAACAGCCGACTACTCTTGTGTCAACTGATGTTTTGATGGGCAGCAGCAATGGCTTTTAGCTTCATTGATGCATCGATCTAATCAATCGACACAGGACATAACAGGTTTCAAAGCTTGTTCGAGAGGAAAGACGGAATGTTGCCAGTAGACACCAATGGACGGGAGCCTTTTGTTACCAATCTCAATGTATAAGAATCGGTTCATCTTTGCAGTAATGCTCTATCCTAATAATAGCACATTGAATCACACAATTTGTACAAAAAAATCTCGTTGGTGCACCCGGAGAAACTGTAACTTCATAAAACTAGAAAGATTATTATTTGTAACAATACTATCCAATTGGAGCGATATTTGGCATATATCGATAGAAAAACACTTTAATAACTAAGACATTCATAGACTCTGATAGAGAAATTTTTTTTTGCATAAAATGAACCTGTTTTTGGCGAACTTAATTCGAGTTTTAATGAACTTTAAGGGCAAAAACTGGTTTTTAAGGCTTTCAGCGACTGCTTCAGATCTTTCTTATTGTCTGAGTACTTTTCAAGAAATATGTGATATTTGTAATCAGCACACANAACTCCTCCTTCAGCTTGTTGATGACAATATAATTAATTCTATATATGGGCAAAATCATTTGTTAGCGACGTGACTTGGCAAAATTGAAATGCATATAGCTCTAGACAATCAGCTTATCTAGAGCTGATTTTTTATATCCTATACGTATGCTAAGTTGTTCTAGACACCTTGAAAGAAACAGCCCTAGGGATTCTTGTTCGTCAGAGTTATGATTAAAAAACTAGCGTTAGCGACGTGACTCAAAAAAGGACATTAACTTCCACTACAAGCATTTCAGTTTGAAAAATCTGCGAATCGAAACAGTATTTTCGAACACTAAATAGTAAATGTTGCAGGCGACTCTTGAAGCTACAAAAATATCTACTCAATGTTTTTCCTGAATATGTTTAGATTTTTATCTAAATTGAGTTTATTTGGCGTTAGTGACGTGACGAATTCGTTAGCGACGTGACACAGTACGACTGCGCAACAGAGAAGGTGCTCTTGTAGTTGATTGAAAAGTTTGAAATCGACTTCAAAAGTTACAAATTATTATTCACAGTCCACAGATGATGATAAGACAAAATTTTCCCTTTTTGCACTGTTTAGGGTCTCTAGAAAACCGGTTTTCCGGAAGAAATGTTTTGGAGTCCAATCTTGCTGAAAATTTTACCATAGATGCAGCTCATGTCCTAGAGTCTATTCTGACGTTTTCAGATTTTTTCTCATCTGGTTCATGAGATATTCACTAATTACTTTTTAATTAATTAATTAATTTTAACTAATCACCATGTGAAAGACCAAGCATTTTCACATAAGTCTACGCTGAAAGAATTTATCCAGAAAATTCACTCTTAGAAGAATTAAACTCAAATGAAACGTCTAAATGTTCCGTTTTGCCTGATTTAGCCGATATACATTTAATTTCATACGAAACAAACAGACTAGACATAAACTAAACAAAGAACATTACTTGTTCGATCATCTACAAATCAATGCCAATCAGCTTTATCACCACAACCACAAAAAACATTTTACTTCGTAATCATAATGGGTAAGTAATTGATATAGTAATATACAAATTATTGTATCGATCAAGAAGAAAGATAACAGTCTTCCTTTTCTATTTATTTGATCAAGATGGTAAATCGCCCATGTCTCAAAAATCGTGATTGGCTGGAAAAAACCGCCGGTTTTTCGTTGTAAGGGAGCCGGTAACCGGATCAGCAAACCGCCGGTTTTCTTCCGGTTTTCACTATATGGGCAGATACCATTAATCAATCTCAAGGATTAACTACAGAGTTAGTCATTCATGGCAATCAAATTCAAGTTAGTAACATTTTTTTCTATACCATTTAAAAGAATATTTTTCTTTCAGTTAATTGAAGTACCTAATGATCGTCGAAAACCTTATACATTTCGTAATCAAGCTGGTTAAATGGTTAAACCAATACTTATGAGTCTTATTACAGCTACTATTCAGCCTGTTGCATCTTTGAGTCAAACAAATACAAATTCTTCTACATGTAAGTATTTTTCATCAAATTAACATACCTTTTCACGTTTAAATAGTTGTAAAAGAAATTGAGAAGCCGTCGAAAAAAATTTTTTATAATATCTTTTTTTCTTAGCATATAATTCTTCACAAATAAATACATTTAGTCGACAATAACAACAACAAACTGCTGTCAACCCTCTTGCAACACAACAAGTAATAATAAATAGGAAATTTTTCTATGTGACATGTTACAACATACTTGTTTTATTAGTCACATCCAAATTCTTCATAAACAGCTACTATCGATCATATCAACTCATCATTTGATACTCAACGAAGTAAATTATTTTAATTTTTATCAAAAGTAAAATAAATTTTTTATGTTTTCTTTTTATTCATAGATATTTTAACACATGATGCATCAATGATGATTATACAACAATCAATAGATAATGCACAATTACCTCAAACAACATCGTTACTTAATGGTAAAAAATAAAAGAAATTATTTTTTGTTACACAATTCATTTATAGATTGTAATATTGATACATATCAACCATCATTTTTGCAACCAAATTTAATCACTTCAACACCTATTCGTAATGAAAATACTTTTCAAACATATCAGAGAGATATATTATTAATACATAATAATAATGATTTATCATTAGATGATACATATGGTCAGTTAGGTAAATATTTAAAAATAAATCTAAATCTATTTATTTTATTTCCATAGATTCAGATGATTCAACAGCAGCAAGTGGTGATTTTTCTCTTTCATTTTCACAAATATCATGTATAATGAGGGTTATTCCGAATTCACTTATAAGCCTCCAATCAATAAAAATAGGATGAATATATATGATTTGTTGCTAAGAGCGGCTTCTCGTCTTTGAATTTTTTCTTTGCACTTTCTATTTGATTCGCTTTCATATGAAAGTGAAACGAATGAATAGTCCAAAGAAAAAAAATCAAAGAGAACAAGCCGCTCTTAGTAACAAACGATATATGTCCATCCATATTTTTATTGGCTGGAGGCTTATAAGTGAATTCGGAATAACCCTCATTGATCAAAGTTTCAACTTGTTTAAGGCTTCATAATACTCTTGATAGGGTTAGAGTAAATGAAGCTCTCAGATAATATTCGCTGACAGCCAATAACGACATTGCAATTCATACGATATTAGAAGATTCAATTCTTTTTAATTCTTTCATTGTTGTTGAGAAAAATAACTGTCAAGAAAATTAAAAAACACTCAAAATAATATTTAAATGAAAAGTTTTTTGCTGAATACTGCACTTATAATATATCCTTCTTTCGTTAGTCGTCAAAAAACTTAAGCTTATCTTGCCCTTATGACATAATTTTAACTTTTACAAGTCTAGTGCGCAAGTGAATTCCATATTTAAGCCAATATATGTTGTAGAATTCATTTTTTCTTTTGTCTATTCACTCGTTTCTACATGATAACAGGTAAGTCTGATATGAAAATGAAATGAAATAGATTTTTTTCTGTCTTCTTAACTGTGTATATATTTTATCGTCCTCGAGGTATAATTCACTTATCTAAGTTAGTCAACACACTTGACAAAAAAAATGTGAGTTCTGTAGGAGTTCATTCGTTAAGATGAATATCTCATGTTTTTAGAATTTAGTTACAATGCTGAGATTATAATAAGGCTTCATGAGATTGGTAGTGTCATATTTTGTACGTCTGAGTCATATAATATAGAGTAAATAGGAAATTTATAAATTCTTCAAAGAAGGTTATTCGATCTAATTGATGACTATGTTTACATTTTTTCAAAATTCACTTTGAATTGTTTTGACGATGACTAATCCTTGTGAAAGTTTTTCACATGATCAATCAAAGAAATTATATAGGCTATTGTGAGAAATGAAAGAATTCGATGTTGTTTATTCAGATATGCCTTACTTGACTTTGCCAGCATCCCACCAAAGTGTTAAGTTATACTATGAAGTGCATGGCTCAGGTCAAATTAAAGTTCTGTTTATCATGGGTTTGAGAAGTGAAGGTCGAGCTTGGAAATATCAAGTAAGAAAGAAAATACGTTGTTAATGTAACATGCGACTTCATTCTTCTTTTATAGACTGATTTCTTTCGTGAACAATCAAATTATCAGGTAGGAGAAATACATCTAAATTGATAAATCAATTTGAGTAGTGTGTGAGTTATGATAATCGTGGCTGTGGCCGATCGTCGACACCGTTTACACTCGAATATACAACAATTCAAATGGCTAAAGATGCCTTGGAATTGCTTGATCATTTGGGTTGGTCTCAGTGTCACGTAGTGGGTGTCTCCATGGGTGGAATGATTGCATTAGAGTTCGCTTTATTAGCAAACCGTAGAATTCTTTCACTCACTCTCATGGCAACACATGCTGGTGGTTTGATCGGTCGAACACCATTGATTGGTATTCGTCACATGATTCGATCGCTTACATTACGCGACGAAGATCAACTTGTGAAAAATGTTCTTGATATGCTCTACGGTCGAAAGACACTAAGCGATCCTGACAAACGACAGGTCAGTTGACATCTATGCAAACTGAACTTATTCATAGCAAAATCATTCGTAAAAATGTTCTTCATTCTTATTCTCGCCTCTTTTCGGTAATATTTAATCTTTTAGTATTTCTACGATTATCATCGTGAACAATTTAAGATTTGTGTTCCCCTGCCGCTGATCGGTAGTTTTGGTCAAATGCTTGCCGTTCAACGACACTACATAAGCTATGCTGATCTATTAAAAATTCGCTATTCAAATTTTCCTTGTTTGATTATGGTGGGCACTGAAGACCGGCTCGTACGCGAGAGTAATTCTTACATGCTGCAACGAGTAGTTACTTTTCTTCTTTTCATCAAATGTCACGTGAGATCCTGTTTTAGACACTTGGCTGTCGACTTGTCAAACTCGAACATGCAGGACACGACTTAGGAGGCGAATGTGCTCAGCAAGTCAATCAAGAACTATTGAGTGAGTAGAAACAGAGTTAGATGATGTTTGCTTAGGAGATCCGTTTTCACTATCAAATAAATATTTATTGTTTATATAGTGTTTTTTGAATCAATCAATTTGAAAGATCATCCATCACACATATCAAGCGAATATGCGGCAGAAGTGCGAGCACTGGAACTTTGCTGCCAACATCGCACTCATTGTTTTATCTACAATTTTGTTGGTTTCTTTAAGGTATGTTAAAAAAGGAATGTTGTGTCCTCATTAACTTTCACTATGAAGGGCTTGCTTCTCGGTTTGATTCTTTACTGTGCGTTGACTAGTGGATTGACAAAGAATGAACTGATGAATATTCATCTATGCACTCGCTGTATGGTACTCATCGGCTGTTTGAAGTACGAACAAATGAGGTATTTCTTAAATTTTCACACGTTCTATTTTTCATAGCGGCTTGCATCGATCGGTATTATGTATTTTCCATGCATTTCGAGCGCGGAGCTTTGTGCAAAAACATCAATTATTGCTCGAGCAAGCAGCTAATCACGGCGGTATTGGAATCACTTTACCCAGTCGACACAAGAATGGCATACCGAATGGATGCGGTTTCGAACTACCTATCTTGCCACTCATATTCACTGTCTGTTTGATTAGTCTTGCTTGGTGGACAAGACAATATGACTAATAAGTCGAATCTTTTGAGACTTTATGCATATGTTTGCAACTAATTTATTTCCAATAATATTGTCTCGAGTGAATTGATTGAAACGATCATTTGATTATGTGTTCTAATGGAATCTATGGTCATTTCACAATGAGAATTCGCTTTTTTCCTATTCGTAAATGATATATTCACCATTTTGCATTTTTTATTGATGTATTATATTGGATGACTGATAAGTTATTGACACACCAAAATATGAAGGAAATATTACAAAGCATTAACGTACAGTTATCATCAGAAACACTAATTATAAATTATAGTATTTTGTCAGTCTTTTTTATGTACATGACAATATGATAGAACAAGTATGAAACCTATGAATATGGACTTTTTTCTGTTCACAAGAAACGATTTTGTGAACTAAACTACATTTTGAGCTTTGTATGGTATTTGCAAATTTTCTAATCCAACAATCCCAATGAAACGTGGACGGAGTAGTGACGATGATTCCAACAAAAAAGGAAAGAATTTTAGGCATAAGTTATAATAAATGTATGTATTTGAAATAGTGGCGTAACCAGGATAGGGCATGGTTGGACGCCGCCCAACCATTGATCATTTAAAAAAGCAATTTGTTTAGAACAATAAAAGTAAAAAATCACAAGATACTTGTACTCCCCTATTTTTGTCTTCAGTTTAGACTAAACCAATTGGACACATTGTCAATGGTAACTTGTCTCTCGAAATAGAGAGATGTATGCAGTGACAGTAATGATTGATAGATTATCATTTGATAAATAATTTGTCTCCTTAAGTATGGATTTTACAAGTGACATACAGCAATACCTTCGTGATTCTCGTAAGAAAAAGACAGAGTTCTTATTAAATGCAACTCGATAATAAAGAGTTCAAACATGATATTATTGGGTCGTTTTCTGGCTCATATTCTTCTAGAAAAACAAAGTTGATACTTCTACTTTGACTATTGATAAATTCTCAAAAATAACAGAATCCGACGAAATAGTCTGTTGTCCAATAAACGAAGTTGCTGAATCTCTATCGCTATCTTCATCATCCAGAACAATAGCAGTTACAAAAAGCTCTTTCATTCCTTCAGACACTAGCTGTTCCTCCAAAGAGCCACTAGTTTCACCTAGAGGACACCCTCCTAACATTTCTGGCACTTTTGGAGATCGGTACATCAGACTAATTTGAAATTTTCAGGACAGACAGAACTCAATGAATAGGGCAAAAGTTGTTGTAGTGCCAAAATTCTTAGATTCTTTCTTCTATGACATAGTAAGGTCGCAAGGGCTAAAATGGTCCCGCTTATCGACTTGCTTTCTCAGCCATAATATGCCTGATTGAGCTAAAACCATTTTGAAGTGCCTATTTTTTTTTGTTTACCATCATCTCCTTCTATTCGAATGAAAAAGCCAAAAGACGAAGAGCCCATTAAAAAATACATGGTCTTTTTAGCAGACCTTATTTTATAAGATCTGCTAAAAATCGGTGATACAATATTTTTTAAAATAAGAATGTAGCCATCCCAGAGTATTTCTAGTATCTGTAAAAAATGTTTCAGCTTGACTAGATATACTATATCTGAGAAATAGGGGCGATTCTACAAGCTTTTGTGTAAAAACTAGATTCTGAGAAAGCTCAGCAGAACGAAAAAGATTTAGCTGTTTTCACATGAAAAATCTTCTATCTTTTCGAATTTTCTAACTTTGAAGCTAAATTTGAATTGTCAAAATTTTTTTAACAGATAAAGAACAGTTAGAAACATATATAGAGCAGAAAAAAGTCAAAAACAAAAAAAAATGAAAATTTGAAGTCCAGAAAGGGAAAGAATCCTCTTAAATAATCTTGGAAAAATTGTTAGGGTGGCACTCAACCATCCGTCATGTTTTGGTTACGCCAATAGAAATAAGCATCCCATTCGTAAATCTACATCATTATAAGTTAATTATATTTTCTAGTTAACTACTTGACAATAAAAATGAATTAGTTATATTTCATGTTATTTCACGTATCTCCGTATAAATAGGTATATGCTAATAAATTATATACGAAACATCATCAATATAATGATCATAAGAAAACACTTAATCATCCTCATTCCTAGTAACTATATAGACCTCAAACGATAACAAATCGTTAGGATTGTATATGTGCCACAAATGGTAAAAATATCACATTTTTATGATAATCGGTTGAAGCTACATAAAGAAATATACTAGGGAGGTATCAAGCCAACTGGCCACGCCTATATAATGTAAAATGATTTTCATAATTAAATTGAAACGTTACCTTGGATAATGATGAAATGTTTATTTCACTTAGAAATCTTAAAAAATAATTCGGAAAACTTTCAAATCATTTCTTTAGGTTTAAAACGAAGATTGATATAAATTCACGATAATCATCATTTTTTCTGCTTATTAAAAAAATACTCGTTTTCAAGATTAATATATCGATATAAAAAAATAAAATTTACCACCATAAATAGAGTTTTCGATGGATAACTTTTAGCGTAAAGTCATCAAGAAGATTTTCTACTTCAATTAAAACTCTCAATTTTTCTACCAGATCTCTAAGTTGTTTTGAGATGCATAATAAAGATAAATTACGAGTGTTATTATTTGGTTTTGATAATAAAAATCTTGCTATTGTTTCCAAATCTTCTCTATATAAATTAATTGTAAGATATTCTAATCGAGGAAAAATGGCAACAAGTAATTGAATTTTTTCTAATGTACTTTCTTTCGCAATTATCATATTTTTAACAATATTCGTATTGGATACGATTTGAAATGTTGCATTTTGTTGAATTGAAACAGAATCTGACCCATTAAGTAATATAGAATTAAGTTTCAGAGTATGAACATTAGGTGTAAAATTAAGAAGTTCAATTACTTGGTGGAAAGCAAAACGATGACAATCAAGGGACAGTGTGGATAGTTGTTCCAAAGGAATAATACGATTGAGATCTCTTACAATCGAATCACGAGGTATTTCGAACGTATCGGAAAGAGTAAGCTTAGTAGCATTTCGAAAGTTGCCCACGAATTTTTCCATTGTATTTCTACTATGAATGCAAACATGATCAGCTGCGTTTNGAGGAAGAAAAGCTGAACCCAAGTCTGACCGAGCCTTACTGAGCTCAACCGAATCTAACCGAGCCCGAGCCCGAGCCAAACCGAGCCCGAGCCTGACCGAGACCGAGCCAGACCGAGCCCGAGCCAGACCGAGCCCGAACCTGGCCGAGCCCGAGCCCGACCGGGGCCGAGCCCGAGCCCGACCGGGGCCGAGCCTGACCGAGCCGGAGCCTGGCTGAGCCCGAGCTACTCGGGCTCGGTACATGCCTAACCGTAAGTAGTATTCGGCTTCTACATGTATGTTATGCGGGTGAGTGTGGCTGTGGATATGGGACTATAGTGTTGGTATATATGTGGAGAATGCATGCATATATCAGCCTTCTCTTTACACTCTATGTTTACGTGTTGTAAAGTAGTGTGTTAGTAGAGAGAAACTTTAATATCGCATGCCAGATTAAAACTTATTAGTTCAATGCATATTCAATAGCTGACTTTGCCAAATTTTACAGCTAAATGAAATACGCCTCAGAACAATTTTTGACTACTGTAAATTGCATGACAGTAATGCCAGTATTGACTTGCTGAAGTATCCAATGAAACCATAGGAAAGGAAAAAGATATTCAGGTAAATGTGTCATTAAAAAATATTTTCTCCTGCTCCATGCGTTTGTTTCTTTCCTTCTTTTTTACACAAACTTTTCTTCCGTCGCACTTTATTGATAAAGTAAAAAACGTCTGTCATCAAATAATACGTCTTCTCATTCTGACATTTTTGTATTTTTAATATCAACTAGAAAAGCAAGACTCAAGATAAGCATCGAAGTATAGCAATGACAAACTACATCAAAAAGTCGCAGTCTAGTTCGGATCTGTTAATAAAGCTGCCGGCAAGTCCAATTTCTCCACTCGAAACTAAAAAACAACGGTTAGAAACATTTCAATTCGTTTGGCTCGATCCAAATGTTCACACGGATGTTGGAAATCAAGCAACCTACAACACTTTACAGCAAATGTTGACCAATGTTAGCACATTCAACGATTGCAATGCTTGTGAACAGTGGCTCAAAAATTCTTGCGGTGCAGAGAAGATAATTCTTATCGTATCTGGTAAATTTGGAAAAACAATTGTACCTCATATTCATGATTTAGCATCTATCGTTGCTATTTATATTTATTGTTTGAATCGTACACGTCACGAGGGATGGGCTAGAAAATATGCAAAAGTGCGCAGTGTTGTCACAGTTACGGATGATCTTACAGAACAGTTGTCGAGATATCAGAAAGATCTTGAAAGCATTGAAGATTCAAAAGCAATTCAGATCTTCCACGGTCATTATAGCAATAATGAAGTCAACCCGAAGAATGCTTCTTTCATCTGGTATCAACTTTTACTCGAAATTTTGATTACATCATCCTACTTACCATCGCGAGATACATTCCCTCAATTGGCTGAAATCCTTCGTCAATACTGTGCCGACAATGCTTATTATTTGGCTTCAATCGAAGAGTTCACGCAAACATACGAGGCAAAGCGAGCCATATTGTGGCTTATGCATGATACACCTGTAAAACGTTTTATCAACGCAGCTCTTCGTGAACAAGACATTCAAATTCTTTTTCTTCTTCGCTTTTTTCTCCGTGATATTCACTTTCGATTAACTAACCGTTCGACCGGTGCATTACGTGTATATAGATTACAGCCCATGTCACTTGATGAAATAGAATACCTTAAGAAAAATCGAGACCAATGCTTGTGTTTTACGGGGTTTCTTTGCACCTCAACAAGCAAGCCGGATTTACAAAGTATCAATGTCAACAATAATCAATTTCAAATTGTATTATTAGAAATCGATGCATGTCATCATACTGGGACGTCTTCTTTTGCATACATTGATGAAATCGACACATCCGTCAAGGATCAGAATAACAGCAACGTTATTTTTATGTGCGGTTCAATATTTCAAATTGGTTTATTGAAACAGACACACAACTACAGGTGGACACTTCAATTAACATTAGCTGATAGCAAAGGTTTAACCACATTAACAAATATGAAGCGACAACTTCGGCAACATGGTGATTTATGCTTAATCGGCAATCTGTTAGAAAGATGCGGTCAATACGATATAGCTATTGTGTATTACAAATGTCTTCTTCGAGAACTACCTACCCATCATATTCTAGTATCCCAATTAAAGGAAAAATTAAATAAAATTTCAAAAGTAAAATCAAGTATGTATTTGTTCTTCAATAGATAAATAAGGCGACAATGATTTATTTATGTTAGTGCCTCTTATCGATGCTCGGTTTGTTGTTGTCGATTTATCATCCCGTTTGAGTGATTTAGCTTTAGCTATGTTGCATTCGCTTCATCGATTAGCAAACAGCGCCATAATGATTTTTGACAATGGGTCTGATGTCGATTGGCAGCAACTGGCTGACAAAACTATTTTTCTTTTTACAAGTAGCCAATTCTTTGCTTCAATGAAGACAAACTTCCAACAGAACTTATTTATCTTTATTTTGGAGAGTGATACAAATAAAGTCGATCAACAAGAACGGTTTGCTACAGGCGAAGATCTCATCTGTCAATTAGCCGATGAAATGTATCGGTGTTATAGAAAGGAAGTACAGAAATATTCACTTGTGGGTGATTTAAAGATGGCCAAAGGCAAAGAAAATCTGGCTAATCAAATTTATAGCGAGTTACGAAAAGCTCATCAAAAGATAATGACAATAGAGAACGATAGTCAACCATTTGTCTGCACAAAAACAGAGGTCGTTTGGCTCAAATCAAAAAAGCAAGATGGCGTTAAAGTTCACCCAGTACAACAAGATATCATCGACATTGTTTCATGTTATGCAAGTTTTGATAACGAATATGACTGTCGGAAATACTTATGCAACGATAAAAATGTCCGTGTCATATTTTTTATTATTGATATGGATTATGATGAATCGACTGTAGCTATCTTTGAAAACTCAAGTAATGTTAAATGTGTGTACTGCTATGGACAATCGACATCAGAGAAGAAGACGGTTATTACAAATCTCGACGATCTTTGCTACCGTTTAGCATATGATCTCATCGCTCATTATAGCAATTTGGGTGCGGAATGTCGTGCTAAAAACAATACTGAACAGGCTCGAGATATGTTTTCAAAGGCGAAGAAACTGTGTGACATTCTTGCGGGGTTTTAAAACAGAGATGTTCATGGCATCGTGGAGATGTTAGCTTTCCAGCCTCGATGGACATCTCTGCTTTAAAACGGTCATAATAGACTCTTCTGTTTCATTTTGTCTACTCTGATATTTTTCTTTTGTCCCTTTGTAGATGCTATCGATCCAAGATATTCAGTTCGATCCTTTCTATCAGCAATCCAGCTACTGGACTCTCCTACTTTATCAGTTGGATGAGGTTGGTTTAGTCATCCCCTTGCCGAATGCACAACTGATGTCATTTATTCAAGTGTTTGAGGATTGGCAGAGATGCCAAAATCATATTTTAGAATATAATCAAAGGATGGTCACATTATTTGCTTACAGTGAAAACGTAGAAAGATGGTGGGCTGCGTATAAAGATGATACGCCGTACAATCTTCAACATCTTCATATTTTTTGTGACGCTCCGAAAGACATAGCATGGATGAACACATATACAGGACGTTTTAAATCACTAATTAAAGATACATTTGTTTATGACCGGCTCGACGACAAACTACTATATTATGCTATTAGATTTATAGA